CGCTGAAAACTTGCTCCCAGGGGTGGTTTGACCCCCTGATCACGAATATCACATCCGCGCAAAACCTCCTGCCGCCCGCGCTACAGGTGCTGGCGCCAAAATACCTCAGATCACCGGCGCCTGTGGCGCGGGCGCCAGGAGGTTTCGGGCTAAGCGAATGTCATATTCGTATTCAGGAGGTCAAAATACCCCAGGAGACAACATTTGAGCCAAATCTGTCCACGGAGAAAAAAGTCGGTCAGAAACTGGCTCAATTCTGGATGGTTGGGGCAGTAAAGGGTAAATAGTGCCAAAATTACTGTTAACTCAGCTCACCGAGAGCGCAGGCGAAAGTAACCCTCCCATCTTGTAGTAGTGGAAAAGGAACTTGGAACAAGCAATGAACTGCCTTCTTAGGCCGTTACACCCTGTTATTCTCTTTTGAACCAACAGCTAACGGAATAGTATTCGCGAGTACAATGTAGCAACGTAAAATACTGACAGTTCGATGGTGCCAAGATACTGTAGTGGCAAGGGGCCTTAATGAGGACGCCCACGCTGCCTAGAGGGGGGGAGGGGTGGGGAGCGGAATTGGAGCGGCACCCGTCTCAGACAACCGAGCTACTCGTTATCTGACGCCACTTATTTGGTGACTGCGCACGCGTATAGTAAATGTGTCAGTGTAAAGAGGGAGCAATTGTTATTTCAGGACAGTTTGCTTTTTAATGAACATCTCTGGGAGATATGATGATCATGAAAAAGGATGGAACGGGGGGATGGATGAGGACATGATGAGAGATCACAGCTGAGCTTGAGAGAAAACGAGAAAAGAATTTTCGATCCTGATCGGAGCTCCCCTTAAAAAAACTCGAAAGCAAGGCTCCAACAACTGTTATGAAAGGAATTTTCTGTCGCTTCCGACAGAGAGATTCAGAGTCTAATGTCAAATTCAGTTGGGTAGCGGAGAATGTCGTCGAATAGTTATAATCCGCTTCGATCCTCAATGGCTCTGATAAAGGCGATTTCGCGGCAGCGTATGCGAGCCGATGAAAGGTTTCCACTAACCTCACGCCACTATGCCTAGGTTTACTGATAGCAGCATTTGGCGAGTTCTTGATCATCCAACCTTGACTTTTCTTTTTTATTCTCACATCTTCCGCAGATTCCCTTCACAAGTGAATTTTTCTGGAAATAACAAGTGACTCCATTTTATCGAGTAGTGTTTCAATGTTCGCGCGCGGCGACCGCGCGGACTTATCTAGTGTCAGAAATTAAGGATTTCAGGATGAATGGATCTTCAGTTACAGGCGAGAAAGGCGAAGCAAAAAGGCTGCAAACAGCCGAACCAGACCAAAATGGGAGATTTATGTATTTGGCGCAAAACCAGTGGCGGCTCCGAAAATGAATCCGGTGCTCGTAATACACTATCAATGTCACTCGAATAAGGAGGTGAGTCGTTTGTGCGCCATTAGACGAACGCTCTGATTATTCCTTTTCATTATCACCTCTTTTGAAGAAACAGTGTAGTTGGTGGAGACCACAGCGGCAAGGCTGAGCCCGTTAGCAAAAAGTTGTTCGGTTCTTGCAACTGCCATCAAGAAGAATTCTAGACCAAGGTCAAGCGTATCTCGCGGGATCCTCGGGTTGGGTCGCATTTGGCTCCCTAGTTAGTGGGAGGGTCGTTTTTTCGAAGATCAGCACTTAGTACAGCAGGGGCGTAGCTTCTCGGATGAGAGTGATGCGTTTGGAAAGAAGTGTTCATGGCGCATTCCATGGAGGTGTTAATCAGAGTCTCCATGCTGCAGTTCCTATTCACTACATAAGGGTGTAGGCCTACCGAGCTTTCTAGATGGAAATATGGGCTCTGTAGAGGGGGGGATAACCATGCTGCAGCTGAAGCAAACTTTCAAATGGGTACCCGCGACGAGCGAATTTTTGTATTAGTTGAGTTACAGCAAAGCAGCTGTGTTCGGCTAATGCCGTTTGGACAACAGGCGGAAATTATATTGTGGCGGACGTGGTCACGTACCATCCTTCCTATCTCACGCGCAACACTTAGAAACTCGCTCAGTCGAGTTTGACGTGTCGCTGCCGGGCAATGTCAAAAGAGAGCGTAGAAGGCCTACAGTATAAATATTCAAATCGCTAGATGCATCCCCATTTCCCACGTGTACAACCACCGTTTTTGATTTCGTTTTCTTTCTTTTCGATGCATGCCGAGTGTGTGGCACGTCGAATAGGGCTCCGTGAATCGAAAAGCCTTTACAAGCATTTGCGAAAGGCGCATGCATGGAATGAAGAACAGGCTATGGGCGTAAAGACTCGCATCAAAACTGCTCAACACGCAGAAGTGGTGTCGTGTGACTAGTGTAACAAAGTATTTCCTACAAAGGCAGGCTTTGAAGTGCACAAAAAGGTATTATATAGTCTCCTACTACTTTAAGGCATGAGTAATTCTCGTAGTTTATGGAACTGCATTCAACTGAATGTCATGTGCCCAGTATGTAATAAACGATTTCTTACTCATCGGGAATTGGTTACTGCGGCAACTCTATCTTGATTTCCTTCTAGTATGTACTAATACCCAGGTTGCGAGACTGCCTGGAATGCCGGAACCTCTTTCACGTCATTTCAACGCCCTAGGACCGCGAGAAGACATTGGTGTGTCTCGTTCCACTGCAGATTTGAGCATTTCATGTCAAGAATGACACAAACATTCAGACGTTTGCAACTTCCGTACAAAGCCAGGCTTTCTCGCCGATTTTGGCAAGCGGACTGGACAACGTCCCGAGATTATATTATGCCCTTACTTTGGCAAGACCGCTCGCTGCTACCTTGATGCGAGCACATTTATACTGATTTCTACAGGAAAACTGGCGAGTTCACTCTCGGCTGCAAGATAGTATACAGTGCGATCTGTACAGAATATAAGCGCTGTAATTTTTCATTTTAGCTGGTGTACCCAACCCATTGGTCCTTTTGACTAATTTTGTGGGAGCAGCACTCCTTGACAACAACGTGAAGTCGGAGCTGTACGGCGGGACATTTACCCTTATCGCTCGGTTTTACGCAGTTACTTATGTGTGCACACAACAATCAGCAGGAGAATCTCTTCCCCATTACATCGCCTATCTATTTTTTAAGAGTATCAACGACATTTGACTTCTCAATTTCAAATTGAATTTCAGGACAGACGTCGGCAAACGGCAGTGATTGACAGAATGCAGAAATACGTCAGAAGAGGGATAGAGCGTCCTGTGCCTGTGCAGCTGATCAATCTTGGAACAATCAAGCTTGCAGAATTTGCAAAATTGAACCGTAACTACTAGCCAAGCTTCAAGAGGAATGGTCATTCCTCAGTTCCTCTAATGCTGTTGATTGCGAATAAAACAGTTTCGCACTGCCTCTTACCCGAAGTAATGTGTGCCATGTAGACTGCTTTCCGGTGGTTCACTAGAAATGGATTCTATATAGAAGTCGAGAAGTTTGAGCTTCATTTTTGCCTGAGAAAGTGAAAACGGAAAAGGTCCAGAGAAGGACCAGGACAAATGTTGCAACTTATTTGCAACGACAAGAGGTGGAAAAATATTGAATTTCGGAAAGAATGGATAGGAAAAAGTTGTGGATGAAGTACCGCTTGTAATTTTTCCGGCAGCTGCACTAGGGTACGCCGTCGTTGTCGAATTCACAAGGAGGAGGGCCTTATCAGGGGAGGGTCGTAAGCGGGCTCATTCAGGAACGAATTGTTTCCTATAGCAGCGGCCTGGGCAATTTGCCAACAATTTGCGCCGGCGCCAGGTATTCGTTGCGGGACCCTACGTCGCTAGCTCCGCCCTGCCCCAATCGATACGTGCAGAGAGCGCGCTTAATCCAAGTATTTGCCATTTCATAATCTCCTATTTTTGCTAACTTCGACCGCTCGTTTGAAGTTTTTCTTTTACTTTAAGATGTGTGATAATAGTTTTGCTTTTTTTCCTGTTTTTACACTAATTGAATTCTCTTCACAATGACCTGCCAGTACAAGTTAGCTGCTAGGGTGCCCTTAGGTGTTTCTTTCCGCTCGGCTATTTTGCAGCCGGTTCTACAACCTCAACGACAGATATGCCTCAGTCAGCAAATTCTGGTCAAAATCAGGCGATTACGAAGGGTCATCACAACCGCTTGCTGCAGCCTTTCAGGATGCAGGTTGGTTCAGAATGTAGCTTTTGTAGTTCAACAGTTGTGCAGATGCTGTCAATTTTACCAGTTTCAGGTTCTAAATGTTGTCGAAATAGTTCACAAAATTCACTGGCTCGTCATTTTCGTGACTATTCGAGAAGCACTCCCTTCCTAACAACTAATAAAGTATTACACTTTTGAGACACACGTGCCAACTCATACATACGTCCGATGAGCATCAAGTTATTTAAGCATGAACTCTCCGAACAATCGAAGGAAGCTCAATGCACAACACGCGGAGATCGTCTTCCATATCTGGACACACACAGAATTCCATATCTCTACCTTTCTTACATTGTTGTAGCCTTTATAGTTTTGTTGTTTTTCGCACTCCGGTTATTGGACTCCTTGTGGAGTGCCTGGTTACTTAGTGCATGTATGATCCGTATTTCGTGTGTTTAGGTAGGTTTTCACATGGGCCATACTTATCGATTCCATTGCTCTTCTTCCTTTCTCCCCAGCGTCGAATCTTCTTACACTAACGGTATAGTTCTCTGTTTTTGGTGTTTTGTCACTTTATTTGAAGCGTTTTAAGAGTTTGCTTATCGATCTTTGGTATATTAGGTATAGTATGTCAATCCTGTTTTACGTATGTTCGTTTTTATTCGCGCGCATCAGAAATTTTGCTACTGGTCTAATAGTACTCATGATCACTGCAAACATCACAATAGTCTCGTGGGTTTAATATGGGTGACGAAGTAGTACCTAACAAGTGAGGAGGAGTAGAAAGAACCCTCGGAAATGCTTAGCCCCATGCCGGAACGAAATTGTTCGTCGGGAAAGAGAGGGGCGAAATCATTTTTGTCTGTATCAGCCTCATCCATCACCCTCATTATTAAGAGCCTAGAAGCTATTGAAACAACTGATCCATCACGTAACCGTTAAACACGAACGTCTTGAGTATGGCCATTGCTTAAAGTATAGAGCTATGCGTGTGTGATTACTTTTGATGACGTTGATTTACAGAACAAACGAAACCACTTATCCAATATCAATAAGCATATACATATCGGAATACATATGTACATATATGTATTGTATATATTGTGTATGCATTACATACACACGCGTGTATATTGTATATTTATACGACAATTTTATACGTATGTGTATAAAATGCACATATTTAAGTGCATGTAGGGAAACGGTCAATCGCGGCGAAGCAGTTAAGACAATATAAAACGAGGCGTGGTGCGCTATGCCGTTAGGCGTACGCATCACACAAACAAAATGTCGGCAAAACGCCTCCAGGGCAGGGCACAGCATTGGTTGGGGAATCCCCATAGGGGGGTCGTATTTGGCCGCCAGGAGAGGGGGGGTCGTAATGAGTGCGGTAGCCAGTATCGAGCAGCGCAAAGGTGTCAGTGTGCTGAATCCTGTGTAGCGGAACTTGCTTCGTAGAGAACTCGGATATGTAAAAAATGAGTACAAAACTTTCATCCATCAAACTAATCCGAAATAATTGGAATTATTAATAAGTCGACAACATCTCGTAAGTGATTAAACACTACAACTCATACTCTGGTTTGCTGCGGATGATGGGGCGTGTCCGCGATCACGCTTGGCGCTGAGCCAACCTGTTTTTTTTCTGACAAACGACAGGACTACCATATCGTTCGTACCAGACGTTTTCCAGCACTTGGTCTCCTTTATCGGAATCAGCAACTATCGGAGCACAGATCTGGCGGCGTCGACACGGACACGCTACATCATCCGCAAGGGAAAACACTGTAGACAAGTGCACAGGTTCGCCATGGACCTCCCTGAATCCTACAGACACATTTGCGCGCGTGGACACACATTATGCACAAGTTGCACCATCCCATCACTTCTGCGCGGACCTCAGTGCGCGGCGCATCCAGAGTTGGCGTGATCAGCTCTGAACGAACCATATTCTGCTCCTGCTCCACCACAGGATACGTTCTACATGCGTTCCTGGTTATTCGAACACGTTCACTTGAAACGGTACACAGGAAACGGGTTTTTCACGAGCTCGTAGTACTCCCCAACAAATCCCCAACGCCAGATCTCATGAATCCCGAGGACTTCCAAAACAGTTCAATAGGTTTTTAGAAAGAGCAAGTCTTCATACACTCGAATCCGTTCTCAGATTTGTGAAATATTGAGTTACAAAAAAAATATATTGATTCAAACCTGTTTCCAAAAAAACCCCCAATCTCCAGAAAAAAAAAAAAAAAAAAAAAAAAAAAAAAAAAAAAAAAAAAAAAAAAAAAAAAAAAAAAAAAAAAAAAAAAAAAAAAAAAAAAAAAAAAAAAAAAGGACAAATTTCTCTGTGATTTTTGCGACCTTCATGAAGATTTTAGCACTTTTAGGAAGATCAAACCTTCCTCTACACGAATACGCTTTCCCCTTCCCCATAGGTCTGCTTTTGAGGAAGTTATGGTCCTTCAAAGACACCCTACTTGCCGAAAATTTGTTTCCCACGGTTGGTCCTGCACAGAATTCCCTTCCCCCCGGCACCTCGGCGCGATTCAAAACAGTGTGCGCCGCGGGAAAGTTATTCAAAGAGGTTACCTCGGCTTCGTTTAGACAGCAGATGTTATTTATAAATACCACCAATCACGCCGTGCAATTGCGTACTCATTGCCGCTACCGTATCCACGTCTGATTCATGTTTACGGTGTGGATACTTCGCTAATCGTAATTAAGCAAAGGCAAATAAGATGGCTGTGATTGTGCCGAAGGAGATAGTGAAGATTCAATTTTGTTTCAAGCTTGTTTTTAATTGGCTTAATCACTGGCGCTTTTACTCCAGACCCTTTGCTAGTAGAGGATGCACTCCTCAAGTCAAACCGAGACTCCTGGTTGTTATAGCGTGCTTAATGGTGGTTGTTTCCTGGTCAAAATGTCTATCAAGTGCAAACGTGACTGAAGGGAGGCAGGGGTGAGGAGTCAGGGTCAGTGCTCCGCGGAACGCGCGACGAAGGGGTCGTATGTTGCATGCGGGTAGTACATGGGATGGGGTCGTAAGTGCAGGTGTCACTACTGCGAAAAGCTGTGGCAAATAAGTGAAGCACTGCCTCGTTCCCGTGTCTCGCCGTGGAGTGCCGTAACTCCGCCTCTCTGCAAATTCATGATAAATTGATGTAGTGAAAATGAAACTACGACACAGCAGAAAGCGAGGTTAGTCTGACAATAAGTATGATAGGGGAACCATTAGTTGTAGGATAGGGTTGTCCTTCCTAAAGCTTGTCCACAGGTTCATATTTCTATGTCTCTGCGTTCTCAATTGGAGACGAATATAAGTCGCGCGTTACGTAGAACGGTTTGACAGCGCTATGTACGCCCGTACGATGTACGTCGCATGCCTACTACATACCCCCGCTCGACAACTTTTTCGCCGAGTATAAACCACAACCACAGTCAGCCATGTCAGCCATCGTACGAGCATGGGGGGGGGTCGTACCAGCCCTTGAAAAAGGGGGGGGGTCGTAAAAGCTCGACCAAAATCCCCATCGAATGCTGTGCCCTGGCTCAGGCCGCTGCTGTAGGAAACAATTCGTTCCTCATTCAGAACTGGGTAGAGTAGCAATGCTGAGATGTCGTACAATCGCTGACTGATAAAAGATTCATTCATGACTCTTGCTGTGGAGAACACCTGAAGAGTCAAGAAGAGACACCTGAAGACAGAGGCAACTTGCAAGCTCAGAAGTGGGGAAAAAGAGAAATACGATAAGCGCCCATGACGACGTATAATTTAACAGACAATCAAAGTACACTGCGAAGCATAGTCATAGTTCCACCCTTGAATCTCACAAAATCCCGTCTAACATGACGTTTTTCAAAATGCCCCATACGAAAAATGTGGTAATCTCCAATACCAATTCGCATACCAACACCAAACACTTGGAAAACTAATTTTTTTTCGACAATTTTTTCAAAAATGATCGTTCTGACAATGCAGCGAAATAATAATTCCCCACAAATCGAATAATCCAAAAACGGCTGTACAACAGAACGAAAAATATTGATCCAGTAATCCATTGTAACACTTTTTCTCCGATTAAGTTGGAAAATACGGTTGCCCATGCTCGATTAGAGATTGTAATGGGCTCTCGGCCAACATGGTGCCATACATCAATGATGTAAA